GGTAACCCGTGGACCTAGGTGGAAGTTGTATGAGCCCTTAGAAATTATTCTTAGTATGTGAATAATCACACGTAAGTTTATTTATATGACTTTCTCCTCCCAATGAGCTATTACGTGCTCCTACGTGTTATGTGTTGCATGATCCCCCATTTTGGCTATAGGCCAATTGGGTTGTTCCCGGACTAAGGTTCGGAAGTCGGTTGAAGACCGAATGGATTGTTCCCAGACTGAAGGTTCGGAAGTGGCTGAAGGCCAATGGATTGTTCCTGAGCTAAGGCTCAGAAGTGGCTAGGGCCAAATGGATACACTTCTTGGACTACAAGTCCAAATATGGGCCTCGGTACTATGACCCACCGGACCTGAACGCACCAGGACGGTGTGTAGGGCCAATAAGCCGAGGAAGGCTGTAGTCCACTGACCTAAGTAATCAGGCGGTGTGTAGGGCTACGGCTGGCTGCGATCCACCGAATGATAGGACAGCGGTGTGTATGACCATAGTCTCCGAGGATCTTCGCCCACCGACTGAGTATAGCTCAGCGGTAAGCGGGGCTTGATCCGCTATGGTCCATCAACTATGCGCATCGATGGTGTGTAGGGTCGTAAGTCCCCCCTTGTAAAGGGGATCGCAGTCCACCGACTGTGTGCGTCAGCAGTGTGTCGGATCGTGGTCCGACGTTGAGTTCGTCAGCGGTTCTCAAAGGGTTGGTTGCGATCAACTCCCCTCATACCGCTATACTGAGGTAGGGTGCTGCGGGGCCATGTTAATGCTATAAGCATTAACCCTCATGTTCGGGGCATGCGATTGGTCCCGTGGCGCCATCAATGATTATGTGATATGAATAGTGATTGGATGATGATGTGTTTTGGAATTGGAAAGTGATCTGTGACCTTAAATGCGTACTCCTTATGATGATATCGGTACTTAACTGTTTATTATTGTTTTATGTGTTTGTCCCTATTTGCTGAGTCTATTCCCGGCTTTTAAAATTAGTGTCTCTTAAGTGTATATCTTCCTGCTTCAAAATGGTTTTCGTATATATATATATATATATATATATATATATATATATATATATATATATATATATAATGTATTTCAACGCGTTGTAGTGGGTTACCAGCATCTCTCACTGAACAGATATATTTGGCTTTCAGGCACGGATGAGTAGACACTGGAGCGCGCTAGAGATCAGAATCGTAGAGTAGATAGTTCCCTTTCGGCCTGCGTGCCATGCTTATGTATTGACATTATTAAGGATTTTAGATAATTAGCCTGTGCACCTGAGTTCTCTAGCTCAGGTGTGGCATAGCACCCCATACTCTTATATTATACTTTTGGGAATTAATGAGAATTTACCTTTATCATATAAGTCTTAAAAGTTGAAAAATTTCGGGGTGTTACAATTACATCTTAGGCGGTGTGGAGTTCTTCCGTTGTGTCTTGTCCTGATGTGTTGGGATGTGATTCCCTTGTTCTTTGAGAGTGGAATATAGTCTGTATTGTTGACTTCTATCTTTGGCTTTGAACTGATATATACAGTATTCCGTTTCGAAATGATTTTGTAATAAATTATGTATCTATATATGCTATTGACATGTATTGATGGGTTACCAGTATTATTTGCTGACCGGGCGTCGTCCCATTTATTTATGTGCTTTTCAGGTCCCGAGTAGTGGCGAGCGCGATATAGAGATGGCTAGTGTAGTTCCCCCAAACTCTTTTAGCTATGTTTTGGGCCTGTGTGCCCCTTATGCTAGACTTTTAGACTTTTGTTGATGATGTTGTTGCCTGTGCGTTCACTTAGTGTGGACGTGGCATAACACTCTCCGTTTTCCAGTTTTATATATATAGACTTCCGATGTGTTTTGCTTATGTTTGTGATTAGAATATCTTGCCTGTTTAAGTTTTAAAATGGCATGAAAATCGGGGGTGTTATAGTTGGTATCAGAGCCTATGTTTAAGCCTAGGATGTTAAGAGTTGGACTTTAAAGATCTAAGTTGAGCTTAGGATAGTGTTTGTAAGTTGAGAACTTAAGATGTTTAGTGAAGCCTCTAAGTGTTTAAGTACCTAAGTATATGATTCTTAGGACGCGCGGTGAGGTTGTGAGTTACGTTTTCGTTATCTGTGTAGTTCTTTTATCTTGTTATGTTGTTAGTTTTAGTAGTTGTGACGGTTGTTCTCGGTTGGTGTGAACCTTCTCGGTAAGTCGCCTCGTTTTGGCTTTGTTAAAGACCTATCGAAGACTGCGGCTAAAGAGTAAGAAGACCGAAGATCTGCTGGCACAAGATAGTCCAGTTGTGGTGATTGCAGCTGGGCACGCGTTCAACGCAAAGAAGATGGACTACTCTACGCGCAACTTGAAGTCAGCTACAACAATCTCCGTTCAAGCAAGTGGCGTCACCTCTCGTACGACATTGTCATCAGTTCTACACTAATCCTAGAGTTGAAGTTTATCTTTCATGCAACCGAAGTCCGATAGGAAGCAAACGTCGTTTAGAGTTCGAAGATCAAGACTTGAAGACCCTCACTCGTGAGGGGAAGTCAAGAGCGGTCCCAGACGCTCTAAGAAGATGTCAACTCACGCCAAGGGGTCGTTCGTGGGTCAACATTATAGAAGCCTCCCAGAGATAAAGAGCTACGAGTCAAATCGTTCTAAGCACGAAGAGTTGAAGTGTAAGATCGAAGTGCCCAACATGGAAGTAGTTCTACCTACCTTCGAAGAAACCGGGAGTGGGCAAGTTGAAGCAACGAACCTGGGAGTAGTAAAGATCAAGATGGCTATACAAGAAAGCTTGGACCTTTAAAGGTACACGGGGAAGAAGAACATCGTTGTTGACAAGTCGCCTGATCCTGTGGAACGTGAAGAGGTTGAGTAGTAGTCGGTGAATGAGGGTAGCGTTTATCCTAGTCGGTACTCCTAGAGAGTTATGAATAACATGAAAACTTTTGGTAAGGAAGTTTGGCAACAAGAAGGAAGGAAGCAGTAACCGAGCTGTGATCAAACGTTGGGGCAGTCAGAAGACTCAAACCGACAAGAGCAAAGCAAAGACGGATATGATCAGCGAGTGTTCCTAAGTTGCAAGTGAGACTCTGTGCCGATGATTCCTGGTAAGAGATCTACCTAAAACCAGGAAGGAACGAGAAGTAGCTATTCTGGTGTGAGAAGATTGAACAGTAAAAGGAAGGACAGTCAGGAATGAACTTAAGGACCAATTCTACTGTTAAACCTTCGGGAGTAAGACATACTCGTGCGGAAACAAAGTTTTCAAGGAAGACCTACCGTTAATCAAGACAAGAAAAGACCAAGTGGTTGAAAACGACTACCTTGTGAAGACTGAAAAGTTATCAACTGCGTACAAGACTCGACCAACTGAGTTTCTAGTAAGGACAGGAGCAAATCTTTGGGGCAAGGAATCATGTAAGGTCTCCAGATGTTGACTTTGGTAAAACTTCAGTTTACGAAAAAGTTCTACCGTTTGCGTTTGGATTAAGGTTGGAGTCGAATCTCTAAAAAGATTAAGGAAGTTTGCTACGAGTTTCGTTTCTGATGCAATGATGAAGACCGATAAGGGAAGCAAGTCAACTCACAGTTGTCTAGTCCGTGTGAGTCTCGCTCGGCTGTAACAAGGTTGAAGAAGAAACCAGCGTTTGAAGAAGGGTTTGGGATGAAGATGTTTGCGATCTCAGCGTATGAAGAGGGCCCGATATAGATCTTAGCATTAGAACGCGTCAGAATCGCGGTAAAGCACCTTCAGTTCGTCAAAAGTGCAGTGATCGAAGCGTCAAGTTGAAGAAGTTGCCTGAAGCCGAGAATCCTTAACCCTCTTTAAGTCGTTATCCTCCCCTTTCCTTGTCAAACCAAATGTCTCTTCCCGAGAAATCCTTCCTATCTCTTCGAATCTCGTTCTTGTTTCCATCCTAATTTGGCTCTGCACAAGGTGACAACCTCGTTTTCCTAAGTTGTAACCTTGAAAATCTTTGTTTCCTTTCTAATCTATGCTATCTTTAAGCCTAAACCTAGTGCCTTTTGTTTGGAAACCCTTTCAATCCTTGTTCTTGATTCTTCACTTCAAACGATTTTGTGCAAGAGAGCAACCTTATTTCCTAAGTTGCAACTTTGAGGACTTTGATTTTAATCCTAATTAACGTCGTCCTCAAGTTCGGAACCTAAACTCTCATCCTCTTTACCTTTCCAACCATCGTGTCCTTGAGTTTAATATCTAAACCTTTCATCCTTTCCAACCTTTCGAACTAAATCTTTTCCAAAACCTAGAGTATATATATGTATATATATTCCCGTAAAATATTTTCTCTAAATACTATCATATTTTTGTCACTCTTATCCCCAAAATGATTTTCCAACTTCGGGGACGAAGCTTCTTTTAAGGGGGTGAGGATGTGACACCCCGTATTTCCCTAAAAATAAATTATAGTCCCGATATTAAATATTTTAATAAAAATATTTATATAGCTATTGAATTTAAAATGGGCTTGGGTTTATTTATTAAATAAACTAGTAGTTATTTTTGTAACCAAAATATCCTAAGCCCAAAGTGATTTTAAGCCTACCTAGTGTTATAAACCCATATGAATATATATATGTGATATATTGTGAGTCCAATATTAAGCCCAAGTATAGTTATTTTCATATGGAGTCTTGAACCATGATGAACCCAAAGACTTAATCAAACTCTAGCCCAATCCAACCTACAAATAGGAGCCTACCCTAAATAGAAACCTAGCTATCTATATCTATAGTATACATATGTGTATATGTTGTAGATACCAGCGCAATACAGCCCCTTCACTCAACCAAACAATTCCCGATCCCTTTCCTCTCTTAGCTCAAGCCTTGCCTCAAACCTACACCTCCCTTCCTTTCTCTCTGGTCGGTAGAACAAGCAGCGGAATGGCGATGATGGCTTATTTCTCCAACGACGCAGCAGGTCAACTCCTTCCTCGACAATGCCTGGTTCCGGCAGTGCGTGACTGTCAAAGATGAAGCTTGGGAGCATGACGGCAGTGGCTGACTTCCCATGGAGCAGTCCGGCGCTTCGGGTGAATCAGAACAGGGCATACGGCAGTGGCAAGGGCATCCTCGACGCCACCCTTCTCTCCTCCGGCGAGCGTCTTGCAGTAGCGGCATCGACAAGCAAGTTCCTGGCAGTGGTCTCTTCCTCCGGCATAGTGGATGTTCTCCGGGGTCGATGAGTGTGCAACGTCTAAGCTCGGCTTGGCAGGGCGTGGTGCCGGCGGGTGGTGGAGACTCCCGTGTTCCACCCACAGTCTCTTGAAGCAGTGAAGATCGAAGAAGACGTTGGTGAGCCTCTGGTTCCTTTTGGTTGTTGTTGTTTGGTTTAGTACTAATTAGTTTGTTGTTGGTTAAGTTAATAAGTGGATAATTATCGTAGTGGTAAGGGGTGTTTTAGTGTTGGGTGTTGGTTAGGGTTCGAATCCCTCTATTAGTTTTATTATTAGTTCTAATCCCTTAAGCTTGGATACGAGTTGTTTTATTAGTACGTTAATGTTGTGATTAGTGTAACAATAGGATGTTTAGCCTATATGGGTAGATTTGTGGGTAATTTAGGGAGGAACTAGAATTCAAATCCTTTTATGAGCTTAATTACTTTTAATTAGTATTTTTGTTAATAGTTGGAGATCCGGTTTAATCCACAGGTTCCCGGTAGCTTGGCTTTGTGAGTTTAGCCTAAGTGGTGTTGTTTTTGGATGTTAAGCGAATTAGGTAACCCATGCTTTACAAAATCTATTTTATTTACCTATATGATGATTTCTTGGATTCTAAATATGATTTTGCTATGAAATGTGAGTGTTGATGCATTGTCTTGTGAAAATGCATATCTAGAGCTTGTTATTAGGGTTCTTGTATGCCATTGCTTGGCTATTCCTTTGATTCAAGTCATATTGTTGTATTTTGTGAGATTTTGGGTGCTTTGGACTTGAATTTTAGTTTGGTGTTGAAAATCCCCGAAGGGATTATTTTGGTATAGGGTATGTAACCGCCGGCGGAACGGTGGGTAGGGGTCCACCCGCGGAGTACGCTTGGTGTAGGAAGTGGTTCCTGCGGGCGAAACCACTGGTGGGGGTCCACCCGTGGCCCCACCCGCGGGTACAAGGTTGTGAATATTTGGGGATTGGTTCCCTGTGATTCTTTTGACTCGGTAATTGATGTTTTGACATCCCGATGTTCTTTTGTTGGGCTATTTGAGTGTCTTCTTGATGTTTCGTATGTCTAGAACTATATGGTAGGAATCCATGTAGGTTTTGGTGTCTTGAATCATGCTAAGTGTTCAACATTGTGATTCGTTGAACCGTGATGAGTCTTGTACGTTCTTCGGAACTATGTTTTGTTTACTCGTTTGATAGGCATGCTAGTTTGATGTTGAAATGCTAGCGTGTGTGGTTTGTTATTTCCTATTGTGGATGATAATTTTTGTTGATCATCGTTGTTGTCGGATTGTGATCCTTCCTTGATTGACTACGGTTTCATATCTTTGTTGTGATCCATTGATTGATTCCTATGATGATTGTGTGTGTTGGTTGTACCTCGATTGCACGATTTATGGTATGGGACATTAATCACCAAGGTACAGATGTGGTCCTCGTGGTGGCCATGCATGAGTTTGGTGGTTTGTTATCGTGAGTATAGCTCACACGGTTTGGCGGTTTTGTGATGTGATATTGCAATATACCCTCGTGTACTGTGCGTTCGGCGGTTTTATTTGGCGGTTGTTGGAGGGTGAACGACGGTTCCCAGAGGCAAAAGGTTGGACTTGGAAATATAGGGTGGCTAGTGTAGTTCCCCCAGACTCTTTTAGTTATGTTTTGGGCCTGTGTGCCCCTTATGCTAGACTTTTAGACTGTTGTTGATGATGTTGTTGCCTATGCGTTCACTTAGTGTGGACGTGGCATAACACTCTCCGTTTTCCAGTTTTATATATATAGACTTCCGCTGTGTTTTGCTTATGTTTGTGATTAGAATATCTTGCATGTTTAAGTTTTAAAATGGCATGAAAATCGGGAGTGTTACAATAGATGCATTGACTTAACAACTGAAAAAATCTATATCTGTCGCCATGTCCGTTTTGACGAATATGGTTTCCAATTTTCAGACTTGGCTAAACAGGATCACGCACATGCAGTGCCAACCACAGTCCCATGGTCGACTAGTCCGGTGACAACTCAATTTCCGTCTATTGCCAAACGGCACCGCGAGGTCCAAACACTGGCTCTATAACTCCAACCAGTCTAGTACCCTTGGCTCGAGATCCGCCAACCTAGGCCATTGAAGGGCCGGCCGCATCCCAACCTACCAGAACTCGCACCACCCGGCCCCAGTAGCAAGAACGAGGGCATGTCATGCGGGTGCGGCACATTACTCGGGGCACTGGCGAGGAGTTCCACGCATTAAGTGCCACTACTAACCCAACTTCCAATTCTCATACGGTTGGGCATCCACAGTGGCGGGATTGTAACACCACGTGTTACGATCTCCAAACCCAGAATTAATTATATAATTAATTCCGCCAAAACAGTTAATAGGGAGTTAATTTTCATTAATTGATCAATATGGTCCACAGAGGACCACGTACCCTTGCCTATAATAAAGACCCTAGAGCCTAAATATGTTACTATGGACCTTGGATAAATAGCATATGGACTATAAGATTAGATGCACAAATCCTGAGCCCAAATATATATATATATATATATATATATATATATATATATATATATGTGTGTGTGTGTGTGTGTGTGTGTGTGTGTGTGTGTGTGTGTGTGTGTGTGTGTGTGTGTGTGTGTGTGTGTGTGTGTGTGTGTGTGTGTGTGTGTGTGTGTGTGTGTGTGTGTGTGTGTGTGTGTGTGTGTGTGTGTGTGTGTGTGTGTGTGTGTGTGTGTGTGTGTGTTCTATATGCCCAATAGGTATTATCTAGCCCAAATGATTTTTATCATCTAACCCAAGTCCACCTAGGAGACCTAATCCCACTAAAAATAATATACACTAGACATGGTTAGGTTAGAACGTTATTATACGCATAGTTGGATTAGGATACATACTATACGTATATATATACATAGTACTAATACCCTGCCCAAACATATACATACGGATACGCATACATAGATACACATACCCCCTCTTCCTCCTCGCCGCACCACCCACCCTCTCCCTCACTCTAAACCCCAACCGAACAACAATAAACCATCAAGCCACCCTTTCTTCCCTTATCTCCAACAATAGAGGAAACGTAACAGCCAAGAAACGGAGCACTCCAGCGGCAACAATCGACGGTAGTCAACTCGAGCAAGTTCGGCGGCTGTAACACCCCAGATTTTCAGGATATTGAAAACTTATAAAATAAAGGTGAAATCTCATTAAATCCCAAAACATAACACAAGAGTATGGGGTGCTATGCCACACCTGAGCTAGAGAACTTAGGTGCACAGGCTAACTAACTAATATCCTCAAATAGTATCAATACTAAACCATGGCACGCAGGCCGAAGGGGAAAAACTATCTACGCTACGTCCAAGCTTCTAGCGCGCTCCAGTGATCTACTCGTCTGTGCCTGAAAGCCAAATATATCTGTTCAGCGAGAGATGCTGGTAACCCACTCCAACGCGTTGAAATACAATACATATAGATATATATATAGATATATGAAAAGTCATTTTGAACATGAGGATATCTCCTACGAACTCTAGCTTTTAAAACAGGGATAGACTCAACAGATAGGGCTAAGCACAGACAGTAGTTATACCGAGCATATACAGTTTACAACAGGCAAGACAGATAAGATAAGCACAATTAATAATCATAACCCAACATATACAATCCCTGGTATAAATCTCATAGTCTCATCCCCAAGATACTCATAACAACAACTCATCCATTCTTCATCACATAGCACACTTTGTTGGCGCCACAGGACCAATCGCATGCCCATACATGAGGGTCAGCGCATATAGCTCTGACACGGCCCCGCAGCACCCTGCCTCGTCTCACAGCACGGAGGGGTCGATCGCAACCGACCGATGAGCCGCAGCTCTATATAATATTTATATACCTAACCGGTCTCTACCAGCCTGGTTAACAGTTGGGATGGTTCTCAACACATTCAACTGCCCGTATAGTGGACCTCTGTCCTATATAATATTTATATACCTGACCGGTCTCTACCGGCCTGGTTAACAGTTGGGATGGTTCTCAACCAATTCAACTGCCCGTATAGTGGATCTTAGTCCTATATAATATTTATATACCTGACCGGCCTCTACCATCCTGGTTAACAGCCGGTATGGTTCTCAGCCCACCCGACTGCCCGTATAGCCCGATTGATCTCAACCAACTCGGGGTAACATGCACACATAACACATAGCAAGCACATGCAACTCACATTAACACATTGGGAAGGGGGAGAAAACGTATAACAAAACCTATGCGTGATCCTTCACATACTAAGAATAGTCCTAAGGGTTCATACATCCTTCACCTAGGTCAAGGGGATACCAATTCAACTAGCATGCAATATATATAAGACTCATACGACCTACGAACGGTACCCGAAAATCAACTAGACATAGGCACAATAGACGGAGTCCGTTGGGACACCACGGGGGTCGGGGGAACATCAAACGGGGAAGCCAAAATCCACAATTGGAGTGCAAACCAGCGGGTAGCCGGTGGGTGAGGGTTCACCCGCCGGCGGCAGCCATTCCGGGCAGCGGGTGCTCGGCGGGCAGCTGCCCGCCCGCCAGCTGCCCGCTGCCGGCGTTGCTCAAGGAGGCCGCGGGTAGGTGGCGGGTCCCCTACCCCCACCTACCCCCCACTGACTCTTTTCATCAAGAACGCCCCGGGAACCTTTGTGGAACCCGAAACCATGCTTAGACACTTTCAAACGCAATTGATAACACACGTAGATAATTAACGGATCAAAACCAGGAAACAAACGGCACATAACCTATCATGCTTTTCTAAACATAATAAACACCCAATCATGTGAATTCCCACCCAATATACCAAGAATAATTCCATACGATTCAACCTAGGGTTCTAATCAATTTTAAATCAACAAGGTCACGATTCATCTTCTAATATCAAGATTCGGTAAGAATATTATATAAACATCAGGAACATCCTACAATCATCAAGAACATCATATAGTCATCAAGAACGTCATATAA